AAATTATTAATTTAAATAGTATTGTCTTAAGACGGACTGGAAATAATTATTTGAAATAATATTTCATGTGTTTAAATTTTTATTAATTATTGCAATTTCTATTTCATAGGATTAACATTTACGAGAGCAAATAAACCTACAGAAACGGTACAAATATATTGTTTTGAAACATATATGCTCGTTCTTATGTCTCTCTTAATTAATTAATATAACTGGAACAATTAACATCTGTTTGCTTCTAACAACGTACATATCCCAAATGCAAACAGGGACGTCAAAACATATTCGCAGTTGCGAATGTCGTGGAAATAATATTCGAGTATTGCATTTCACGCAAATAATGAAAGTGTTTATTTCAATAAAGTATTTCATGTTTTAAAATATATATGTTTAACACGCACATAGTTATCTTTATTGTATTTATCGCATTAAATGCATCGTATTCTCTCATAAAATCTGATAAAAATGTCGTCAAAGAGAAGCTGCATAGCATGCCATGTGTTGGAATTTTAAATAATTATGTTCACAAAATTCATTTGATGATCTTTACGTGAAATATAATACAATAGTATGCTCGGCACACGTGTGTGACGCTGGTAGCAAACTTATTGAAATACTTATTACACATTTGTAAAATCAACGAATTATTTCAACTAATATTTCATTGAATAATAAATTACTATTTCAAATGAAGCACACGTGACACAGTTGAGGGAGAAATAGTATCTGCCAATATTCGTATTTTTTAGTTGAAATATTTTTATCCAGGTCTGCTTCAGTATCAGAAATTTGCTAACTAAAAAATCCTGACAACTGGACTACGGATTTTTATGCAAAATAAGAACAGTCCTTATTAATTGTAGGATGCAGGAGCTTGACAGATATCTATTCCATTTTTTAACAAGCTTAATCAGTTGAATGTAATACAATAGTATCTTTGAGTCGTTTAAATGTGTTTCCATTACTTTGAATTTCGCCTATTTCTGTCATAAATGCATAAAATCCGTAGTCTACTAGGTGACAGAAAATCAGGAATAGGAACCTGAAATGTGCATTCTTCGAGGAACTGAATTCTAGGTTTAAATTTTGAATTTCGTCGTTCTTTATCTTGAGTCTTTGGATCTAGAGATCTCCAGAATCATTCAGATCTTCAGATTCAAATTTTGAATCTTATACATCTCAAACTTAAATCTAGATGTCCGATGTTCAATCAGGAATAGGAACCTTAAATGTGCATTCTTCGAGGAACTGAATTCTAGGTTTAAATTTTGAATTTCGTCGTTCTTTATCTTGAGTCTTTGGGTCTAGAGATCTCTAGACTCGTTCAGATCTTCAGATTCAAATTTTAAATCTTATACATCTCAAACATAAATCTAGACGTCCGATGTTCAATCAGTGGATCTAGAGATCCCTAAGCTCGGAGATCTTCACTTGAATCTTTGGGACTATGAGTCTAAAAGTCTCCAAGCTTGAATGCACAAGCAGAGAAATTCTCCAGCTTTGATATTACTGATTATGAACGAATGATGGCTCGAATGTATTGATGTTGTGTTGATCTTAAGCTCAGTGCTTGAATTTGCCTTCGCATCGTAGCACACAAATGATGTTACGTTTCGAGCATCGATTGCATATTCAGGAATCTGAAGGTTCTATATTTTAGACTACGTTAAAGTGTTAATAGGACGCAGTAATAAAAGTGGACAGCCAAGCCCCGAAAGCTAGGTGCAGCGTAAAGTTTTACAAAATTTACAGGGTTTGAGTGGATAGGAGTTCATGCATAGTATGTACTATTGATATTCGAAGGACAGCCACGTTACGTCGGGCCGAATTATGTGGGTTACTAGTCCAAGGTCTAACTTCGTTCGTGTCCTGGAACATAAGCTCGTTTGTAGCCTGGATAATTTACCAGGACCTCCAGTGACCCACATTTTTAGTTTGCATCTCACCTTGCCCGGGTCTAAACTTTCTAACAATAAAACTTTTCGCATCGATACCTCAAAAATGTTATCACGAACAATCCTATCTTGAAATGTGTCTATTAAACAGGGGTTGGAAACGGTTATGATATCAATTTCGATTTTTGGAACAGTTATGAGTACACTGCGGGTCTTCTATGCAAAATAAAAATTGTTTGCATCGACTGCAAGATGCAGGAGCTTAACAAGCATTTATTTCTTCTTTCAACAAGACTGATAAGGTGAACGTAAAACAATAGTATCTTTAAATTGTTTAAATGTTTTTGAATATCATGTATTCAGTTTTGTCATAAATGCATTAAGTCCGCAGTCTAGTTATGAGAATCGAGAAAATCTTATAACTATATAGATATATCGGTTTCGATTATTTAGAACCGATATTATATCGATTCTATAATAGTTCTAATATCGGTTCTAATAGTTCTATAATAGTTATTTTTCAGTTCTATTTCGATTACGGTTCGGTTCTATATAATAAAATAGGTACGCTGTAATTAAAATTAAGGTATTTGTTGTCGTCTAATTTTAACTGTATTTAATATCTTATACAAGATGTTTTATATATATTAACACTTCTACAAATTCAATGAAAACTGAGAACCGTAATGAAATCGATACAATAATGCACTACAACACACGTAAGCTTCACTCGCATCATTATCATCTGTAAGAACCATACGTGGTCTTGTCATCGACTTTTCCAGCTCTCTACCTTTTCACTGTTATTTTCAACACACTACCAACTTTGCCTTCAAAACTCTTGGCCTTATTCACCGCAGCTACAAACTTTTTTTCAAATATAAACACACTTCGGCTTCTCTATATTCCTCTAGTTCGGCCCACTCTCGAATACGGGTCAGCAATATGGGCTCCCTACACAAAATATCACTCGGCGTTGATTGAGAGTGTTCAACGCAGATTCCTGAAAGACATGCATCTTATTTCACTGAGACACCTATGACGATCCTATCCCATAATTAACGTAACATCTCTAGCTTGATCAACTGCGTATCATCGCTGACCTATTATTTGAGCCTCTTAGTTGACAAGTGGCCTAAGTCCAAAATTGTGACAAATGAATTAATTGTAGTGATAATTGTTATCGAGTATAGTGGTTTTATTTACCATTCAAAATTTGTGTGCATTTAACTTATTAATTTATTATTAATTCAATTATTAATTTAATGTTAATGTCTTATAACTTGACGTTTCAATTTCAATTTGACTAAATATATTACTTCAATTTTATGATATCCTTGAGACTGCTGGTGCAACAGACACAAAGTGTTAAATGATGTTATCGTAATTACTATTCGTTCACTTGAATTTCTTACAATAAAGCTACAATATGCCCTGAATATTTTATGAAGTATTACTCAAATGTCAAATTATGCCACTTGTTAACTAAGAGGTTCAATTATAATCTTAGATAATCTCTTCTTCTTCTAACAAAAGTACATCGTATATTCTGTAGTCATTATAACTGTTTAAACCGATTGCTCATCAATGCCAATCATTATTGCTATTCTCTCGACTTCTCCTGTAATTCCTTTATTTCATTCAATAACTCCGCCGTCGCTATTCTACGCAATCATCTTAAATTCTTATCTAAGTATCATTACTGCTATTACAGCCATTATTATTCTTATTATCGTCATTATACACTATTACTCGTGTGCTCGCTATTATTACATTTTCTGTAACAATGTGACCACACCGCTGACACAAGAAATATTCTTATTATTATTATTATTATTACTATTCATTTATAACTATCGTTTAACCCTTTTAGTGTCAAACAATGATACACTGCTGGCCAAACTTGAGAAGATGTTGTTTCCTTAATATGTTTAATCAACAGCAATTTTATTTCTTCTTCCTTCTTGAATTTTCTGCTCTCCTTTCCTTCTTCTCCTTCTTTTATTTATTTCTTGAATTGTCTTCTTGAATCAGGTTTTATAAAATTGTCATAATTTCTTTCCGGAACTTTACCAAATTACGTCAAATAGGTTTGGTATATTTGGCTCAGGTATACTCGCCTTTCTGGTCGACACTAACAATTGGATCATCAAACAAAGCTCGGACCGATTTCAACCAATTGGCAAACTGATACTTCTATATTTAAAATAAACGTAGCTCAAATTTCAACCGTACGAGGGCAGTCAATTATGAGAAAATTAGGTGGAAAGTTTGTAAATATTGGAATGTAAGCGTTCAGAACAATTTGTACAAACTCTACACCCAATTTTATCATGATTGACTGCCCATACGCGACTAATTTTTAACTATTCTTATTATAGATGTAGATACATCAGGCTGCCAAATTTCGATGAAATCGGTGCGAGCCACGTCTGATGCTCCACTAGTAACAGGGTAAATTGTATTTATTATATAATATTATATATATATGTAGGTATTAATATGTTCAGTGCCGAGTGAGTCACGTATAAGTAACATTAATTTTTAACTAGGTTCTTGAAATTCATTTTTATGGTAATATATTGAACAAATTGAATATTACTAGGATTTCTAGAATACAAAGTAGCTGAAGTAATATTTTCCATAGTAAATTCTCACTTCCTAGTTTCGATTTCATTAATTAAATGACTTTGTTATTGCGCGAATTCTTCGAGTTGATACTCGACACTTAACGTGTTAATATCATCTACTGATATTACAGTTCCATTAACGTTGGCTGGTTTCTCTTCGAGATTGTTTATTGAATGATACCGAATGATAGCGAAATCCGACCAATGCTAAAACGCAAAGCGTTAAATGAAGACGAGTTCAGCACCTCGCGGCTGAATGAGTTCTATCGATTTCGAGCAAATCAACCGTGGTTCTCGCAGAAGGAAGTTGTTCCCGAACGTGCCTTCGCACTCTACGACGTCTGTCGATACGATATTCAATTCCATGGTATTGGATTTCCCTTCTCAGCGGTCTGCAGTCAGACTACAACTGCAACTGCAGTTGCAGTAGCTAGGAACGATGCGGTTCTATCAAGGGTCCGTCAGTTCTCTTTCCCTCGCTTCTCTATTTCGACGTTCGGCAGACAATGCGGCGGGCAAAAATGTTTGCGAAATCGGTTGGCGACCTCGTATAACCGGTGCCGCGATAAATTATGAACAGTTCGTTCGACTCGTCGTTCGGCAAATCTGCGGCTGGAAGGGGAAACGCGGCGAGTCGCAATTTCAGAAAATTTAAGTGATAATGCATTTAGCAGAAGCAACGTCGTGTGCACAAATTCTGTAGACTCGGACAGATTATGCAATTGTAAACAGTACTAATACGAAGCATTAGTGACCAGAACATTGAACAACAATATCGTGGAAGTGAAAACGTGCGATTCTGCGGCGTTCTTCCTTGCAGACACAGAAATGCACAGAGTACAGAGTAAGTCAGAAAGCGGTGACCCAATTCTCAAAAACGTTCTTGCATCGTTTTGATCTATGATACGAAACTATATGTTTGTAGAAGCAAGTGTCGTATCAAGATAACACGACAGGATAATCAGAGTCTCTCCCCCCTCTCTCTCTCGAAAAAGAAATTGTGTCCTATGTTACAGTCTGTTTAAATTTTAAAACCTAAGACTTTATTCTTTTTTACATTTTCTTCCTGCAATGTCCCCAAGTGATGTTAACCCTTAACTATATTATTGCCAGACTGTAAGACTGCTACTAATTACTTATTCATCAGTGGTGATAATGTGATTGTAGAAAAAAATTGTGAAAGAAAGGAACGTTTTCGATTCACTTGCTTCTGTTCGATCGCGAACTTGGTCCCCTTCATCATTGCTGTGCAAAGTAGGAGCACTTGATTTTGATTTTTCATCTAACACCTTGGTGTCAATAATAACGCAATAAATATTAGCGATCTGTGAAACTGCAAATAGCAGTTCCGTAAGTTCAAATGAGTGTAACAATTATGGATAAGCACCAAAACTGCCGCGCCGGTCAAAGTGATGTGTTTCACATTTTTCAATTCACAATTGCTGAAGTTTTAGAGACACTTTCCTAGGGAATAATTGAGTAAGATGTTTATTTAAACCCTATCTTGTCGTTCGTATGAGAAACGACACGCGTTAGTCACTCGATTAAAATTCCAGGAGGAAAAAACGTAGGAGCTCCAAACAATGATGCCTGCTATTTCATTAAAACGTATCATCCTGTCCGCAGTATCATCTCACCGCGGAGTCATTAACGTTTTTTCCCCCAATTACGGGAACTTTGTTCGAACGACCAATCGTTCTCCTCGGAAAATATAATACTGCAACGTATCCGCGGGTTTGCCGGTATATCTGAGTTATCTCCGTATTTCAATTAGACCGAGCCGTTTAATAAAGGCAAATGGGTTTCTCATTCAATGCTGTTTCACACATTAAAATTTGTAATACATAAGCGATCGCCGATAATATTAAAAGCGACACGAGCGTGAGCTGCGAGCTCGCGATAAGAAACTCGTCTAATTTCTGACGTTGTTGCCTAGCAGTCTGGCACATCCATTATTAATTCCGTACGTAATAATAGGAGCCCCGTCGCTCTGCATCTCGCAGCGACGCGTCGGGGAGGCTGAATCCGCGGCCGGATTAAAATTCATACGGATCCTTGGAAACAAGTTTGGTTGCCGGCAGATCTCCGAGATAACGTTAAATATCGCAGTTTCAATGAATGCCGGGATTCGCTAATGCGACGCTGCTCAACCTGCTCAAAAATTTGATTTATCGCTGTGGCGGACCGGTTTATGCAACCGTGCACGCGGTGTCCCGGAACAAGCGCGCACTGACTAATTAAGATCTTGTTAATTAATTAGGAAAAGCTTCGCGCCGGTTTCCGAGAAAATCGAAACACAACCGCAAGATTCCGACGTACGCGTAGAAAAACACTTAAACACGCCCACTCGCGTCTCGTGCTCGACAAATTAAAAATCCCTGCGACTTGTTACACACGCCGTCTGTTATACCGCAATTTTTTCTAATTTATTACCAATGATAAGCGCCGACGATCACTTACCGGTACACTTACCGCGCGCCGCGAAGCTTTTATGCTCGCAGATGATATACGAGCATTTTATGCTTTAGAAGACGTTAATACATTTCGACTCTACGGCACATGCTGTGTTATTTTTCTTTGTTCTGTTCATTTTTATATCCGCTCCAGGCCACAAGGCGGACAGATTAAGGATCTATGGCACAATGTGATCGGCGTCCGAAGGGAACTGTTCTTTTGCATGATTGAATATAACCGTGAAGAAAAAGCATGCCTGAGCGTGGCAGATTGTTGAACACGAACCGTAGACGTTTCTACCAATCATTTTTATTATGTCACGGTTCGTGGTAATGCTTTTGTAGAACCAGGTTTGTAATATAAAATTGCTTGCGTAATATGGATTATCATTCGGATCTGAAGATTAAATAACGTGCATCAGAATCCTTGGACTTCCTCCGCGAGATTACAATCCGAATGTGTTACGGAAGAACAGTGTCATGCAGCGATTTCAATTCGGCTTCTTAATTTCTATCGAGTTTCCCGTTTATTCTTAGAACTACTGGAACGTGTATCCTCGATAGATTTGCTAATCGTTTTCCTCGATTTATAAGATTTTATCCGGGATAGAAGCGGCTTTCGAGACTCCTAGGAGGATGGAGAAATCGAAGAAGAAAGCTGTGCGAATATTTTCCTTACACTCAAGACTTAACATTAATTTTAATTGGAGTGCGCAATAATGAAGCTAGATGGAATAAAATATTTTGAGTCGCGGTAAAAAAGAGACGATTTTCTAGACTGGGAAATGATGTTTCGTAATGTAATGGCAGCAGAAAGTTGGTCGATTGGAGAACCTCGTTAAAAATGCCGACTACTTCTGCGATTAAAAAGAAATGTAAGTATTATTATCGCACACTCAGACTCTTTTACCACCATCTTTTATCGCGGCCGAAGGATTGATCGCGATCTCAGCGACGAGTTCTTCAAGCCAACATTTTTGTGACGTTTCCAAAGAGTTTCTTTAAAATCGAAGACACTGTTTTCTAGCATTTCTGAGAAACGTGTTAGAAATTCGGGACACCGTTCTCTAAACTTTCAGAATTATTAAGAAAATATTAAGCTTGATCGATTGGCGCAGGAAAAAATATAAAGGTCCCGTTTAAAAAGATATTGATGACCGTCGTATCTCTTCTTCGCGTCGATCTACGAAGAAACTCACGACACCAAAATGTGCCACTCTCGAAGCCATTAAACTTTGTGCAGGGTGTCTCACCTACCTCGAGCATCTAAAATATCTCGCCTGTTTTTTACGACAGAAAAAATCGGATGCGATAAAATTAGAATGCGATAATATCGGTGAACAAATTATAAGGAGGGCCAGAGAGAATCGTTCGTCGATCGGTTACACAAATGTATCGAAATTAACACGATCATCACTTTGAATACTTACTGAAACGAATTTTCCTGCACTATTTATTCCGTCATAGTTATTTCGCTATTTACGTCATTGCCTTACTTTTATGAATTTTTCGTACTCAAAATCACGCGAAGGTCATAACATTAAAGGTCGTTAGATTCGTCTTGACCTCGGCTATCATAAGTAGTGATAAAAATATATCGTTCCATTCGAAAAAGCTTCGATGACCTTGAAATCTGAAAAAATGTAGCCTTGAACATATTTTCTTGCCCGCCATAATATTTGCTCCTCCGAATCAACCAGTTATCCTCCGACCTTTTTTCTACCATAAAAATCAAGCGAGATATTTTTGGTACTCGAGTTAGGCGAGACATCCTGCAAATAAACATTCTCAGCTATGTACAATGATAATGACGAAAATCGAGGTGGTAACATCTGGTGAACCATCCTGCATACGACAAATTGTGCGACGTTAAATAAACCACAGAAGAAGAAGAAAGAAGAGACCGTGCGTTAACTCACACTGACTATAATACCTGGAACAATGAAGACAGTTCGTTGTTCAACAATAGCGAGCTGCGTGTCAAAAGTGTCGTCGTCAGAAAACGGGGCGCAACTTGGAGAACGTCCTGATACATTTCGCGGACATTGGAAGATTGTGCGGCTTTTTCCGCGGCAACTTCTCGTCCGACACTTGAATTCGAAAAAAAAAAAACGGGAACACCTTCCAGCGGTGTATTTCCCACAGTCTCTCCCAAGCCACGCGATTCGCGAAGGGTTAACACAGTGCAGAACGAACCTGCCGCGGATATAAATATACCGAAGGCGAATAAGAGATGCAAGGTACGCTCACGGACCCGCATCGTGCGAATCGTCGTCGCTTGTCGTTGCGATAGTTGCTCAGTAAAATCCGATCCAAGGTCGCCGCGGTCTTGAGAGTCCAATCAAACAGTCGATACACCGTTCGATAGATGTGTCGGCGGATAACAGTCCGATGGTCGGAACGAATCTCGGGACGAGAAAAGGAACGGATCGGCCGGAGATCGCGGAAAGGAAACGGATGGAATAACAACGAATTAACGGAACGATTAGCATAAGGTGACGCCGAACGTCTCTGTCTCTCGAAGATCCACCGGCGCGGCGTGTTCGGTGCTACGAATCGACAACTGCTTGAATTATGTATCGTTAACGCAGACAGGATTAATCGGCAACTGGCAGATCGATCTCTGCAGACAACGGCTATTTCGATCGCCTCCGTTAATCGATCCTACACGCGAAGTGGTAAGTTCGGTGAAAATATAACATGATTGAGCGAAGGATTTTTCTACTCGATATAAGACGCTGTTTCCTTCTTCAGATTTGTATAAAATAATTCACAAAATAATATAATAAATATAATATAATAAATATATAATTGTATATATATATATATATATATATATATATATATATATATATATATATATATATATATATATAAT